GGAAATACACCGATGTGATGTTTAATGTATGTATCACCAATTAGTGCAAACCTGTGAGAGATTGACAGCTCTTATAACATCCATCTGTTATGACTTCCTGTCTGGCTGCTGTGGAGCGACACTCAGCGGATGATGCTCATTTTCTCTCTCCACCTTTTTATTCATGCCACTTTACGGCACCATCGTGTGCGTGTTATTGTTGGGTGTGCATGTGCAAAAGGAGTAGGTTTCACTACATGAGATACAATGTATGTAAGCCAACTGGGAGCCGGACAAATCGATTTAAATACATTAGATTAACATATGAGCAAGCTGCACTATTTATAAGTGTGCACCGTTATATATACAGTCTATGGTGTGCACATACATATGTTAGAGGGAGGGAGAGCCAGAAAGTGACCTCGGTGGAATCAATCATGGCTTTGTTCTGTAATGCATCAAAAAGGATTGAACACACACTGACATCAAGTGATTTGTTAACAATGAACCTCCTCACTGGTAGAGGAATAATGTTTTTATAGAAAGACTTTACAAAAAAGAAGGCCATTTTTATTTGAATTGTAAAGTATTTGCCTTGGAGTGATTTTATTCAAAATAGGACAAATAAAAAGACTGATGTCAAGCAAATATTAATTTATTTAAAACATTAAAATACTTTAATGCAACATTTTAAGTTGTTGTTTGTCATATAACTTAAACATTTTATGTGATAATGATTTTTTTAAATAAAACAAATCAAACATGTATGAGTAGTATTTTGCATAGTAATGTACATTTAAAAAAATCTACTAAATACTGACAAAAATCCAATGAAATGTTTGTCCTCATGGGGCTATGGTTACAGCCTATGATACGTTAGTCAGGCAGATGTGTTTGCATACAGAGGGTGATGAGGACATCCAGCAGACACATAAGGATATATTTCAGTCAAATATCCACTGTGCTGTTTGCTCTGTTTTTGGTCTCCACCAACTCTTGAGGGGAACGTCTGACTCTTAAGCAGCCTAACACTGCTCTACTGTATGTTTACCAGCTGGGCGCCATGTTTGTTTAACTGCCAGGAGGCTGATGAACCAAAACAGTCAAGATGAGAAAAACAAAAGAACAAAAATAGTTATATACAATCCATAGTTATTGTTCAAGCACATTTAAAGACAATGAGGATCATGTACATTTGAGGTAAATTGTTGAAGTAAATAGCAATATTGAAGAGGATATTGATTTTACAGCCAGAGGTCTAATCTATATATATATATATATACGTAAGTAGCCTCTCAGCAGCTGGGTTGTAAAAGCACCAGAGGTCAAAGGTGAAGGTCCTGAGGTCAGCACTTGGTAACAAAGTCAATAAAGGATCAGGTGCAGGAGACGCAGCTATCATATTAACTATATGAGCTCCACACACACACACACACACACACACACACACACACACACACACACACACACACACACACACACACACACACACACACACACACACACACACACACACACACACACACACACACACACACACACACACACACACACACACACACACACACACACACACACACACACACCACACACACACACACACACACACACACACCACACACACACACACACACACACACACACACACAGGGAAAGGTGGTCAGGAAAAAGCTTAGCTGTGAAATGAAATGAAATGAAATAATAGACAAAAACATAGTTATGCATCGTGCTGGGACCACATCCAAAAACGTCCTCAGCTTTTGTACCATGCTGAGTCTGTGGAATATTAACAAGGTGAAGAAAGACAAAAAAACACTCTGTCCTTCAAGTGTTTACCACCGAGGCCCACAGCGGCAGAAACCATGTCCTCATTCAAGAGTGTTCATGTTTTAAACGGTGGAACGTTGAGAAACAAATACATGTAAAACACAGCAGCAATCGCTATAAGCTACCTCTTTGAAAGTGACTAATCATTCTAATCCTCTGTGAGTTCCATAGGCGGATACAAACTTTGGTTCAGCCTTAAAGAGCTTCTTCTTAGCCGACTGCGAAGCCAAACATTTGTCTTGCACCAGTCACTGCCTTAGAGGAGAGCCTCTGGCCAAAGACAAAGAGAGGGACCTTTCTCTTTGTGTGGGTGAGCTGTTCAGCTGTGGTCTCATCTACTCTTGTAATGATTGGCCTGGTGGGCTGCTTTAGTCCCTCCCAGGCTAAAGACTGGAGTTGATTGATGGATCGGTCTGCCCAATCCCTTTTGGGTCTTGTCGACTGGGGATTCACTCGGGTTTCAATATTCCAGGGAGAGATGAAGCCATTACGTTTCTATCCAGCCACTCAAAACACATCTATTCAGGGCTCTTTTTCTATTTGACAAATGTTTGAGGAGGGACCGTTGGGCTCTGAGATTTGGGAGCTGTCCAGTGCTGAAAACGTGAACAGTTTTAGCTCCAGTCACTGTGAAGTCATTGTTAGTCTAAAGCCAATTCCACTTCTGGCTGTTAACGCATCACAAAGTTCAAACACAGCATAAAATCCCCACTTCAGTTCACAGTCTAGTTCACAGTTGGATCTGCTGTTTATAAATGACTGCTTGTAAAAACTGAACAAAGGAGCATGATGCATTTTCTGCTTTGTACATCACAAGCATCTGATCCAAACCAAATCTACTTATTTTCAGGTCAGTATAGCCATAAAGCAACAAGCCTTTGGCTGACTCAGAGGTGAAGCTTATTTTGATTGTCAATATAAGCGAGCACCGGTTCCGATTTGCATTTTTATGGCGCTATTTTGTTAGCTATTAACGCTGTATTAGAGGGGGATGGACCCCATAATCACCTGAGTGACATATTGGAGTGGGCACTTTTATACCAGAGAGAATAATATAAAACCCTGGCAGAGAATTATCTTGTTTCTCTTCAAAATACACCATCTGCAAGACTTGAGACAAAACTGCTCACTTATTGCATTCCTCCTTTTATTCCCTATCACTACCAACTTAATTATCAACTGAACAGCAGATTGTTTTCTCCGTCCCAGTCTATAGAATGTCCTAAAATGGTGAAAAAGGCCCGCCACAAATTTCGAAAGCCCAAGGTGACGTCTCAAAGTCGTTTTGTTTGACATACAACCCAAAACAGAAAAGCATTGAGCTTACAGTACAATGATGTAATGCATAGAAAAGCAGCAACTTGTGATATGTGTTCATAACAGTTGCTGTTCCTAATTTAACTGGTTTTGTTGATAAAATGCTAGAAGATAGAGATATATATTTTTTCTATTTGTCCAGTTAAATACAAAATAATTCAGTTTACTGTCAAAAAAGACAAAGAAAAGCTATAAACTCACAATTACCGAGGGAAACAAAGAAACATTTGACATCTTTGCTTGAACAATGACTTAAAACCCTCCTAATTATTATTCTGTCGATCTACTGCTTCTTTCATGTATCTAAAAGCATCAGACCTTACTTCCTGTTCCCATCTCCCAGTGATGCAAAGTGACTCCTGGAATTGCAGCCGTCTCAGAGTCAGACATGATAAACAACACTGAGACTGATTAAGTGCAAAGTGTGTGGCAACAGACAGCGAGGAAGCTGAACGGACCTTTTTCTTCCCCACAACACCGCTCTCTGATCCCTCGGCGCGTGTGAATGTCGTCACACACACATCTCTACTGTACTGTATGCGTGCCGGGCTCATGGATGCACTTTCAAAGACACACATGCACACATCAGGACAGAATGAAAAATGCATGCTGTAAACTTTCAGCTGGGCCTCTTAGCCTCATTCCTCACTAGTCTCCTCATGCTCATCCCACAGGCACTACTGCTCTGTTATCTCTCACACACGGGCTACATTTCCTCAGCTCGGGTAGGTCTAAAGTGTGGCGTTGCCTGGTTAACCACGTCCTGACACACAGCTGGTGGTTGCCGCACTAACAAGTCAAAGAAGAAAAGACTTTTGAGTCTTTTGAACCTAAACAGAATAGGCTTTATTAGGCTGCAGGGGCTCTTATATTCTCAGACAATACAGCTCATTTGTCAAGGTGACCCAAACTGTTCTCCTCCTTCACTGTGATGTGTGAATGCCACAGTTTGTTTACAGAGCACAAAGTCATTAATACAAGAATTTCAAATATGTTTTCCTATGGTTGGCAGCAGGCAATCACTCATGTTACCATACTTTAGTATTTCCAGAGTTGGTTTACAAGGCGCAGAGACTTTGATGTAAAGATAAAATACTGTGTGATCACTGATAATCCAGTTTCTATACCTCACAGGGTCTTTGATGTCCTGCCCAGGTGACAGCTCTGGAGGTGGACCAACATAAGATCTGAATTTGGCAGTTATTCAACACATGTTGTTTGTTCACCAAATGACTCTAATTTACATAATAGATTTCACAAACACCTGTTCAAGTGTTCAGATCTGCTTCCACAATTGCATCAGTCAACAGAAGGCGCCCTCCCCCTTGTCTTTTGATGTTATCATCTGTACAGGATGATTTAAAATATGAATGTGCATCTAAACCAAAGTTCTTATGAAAACAAGAGCTCTCCAGAGAGGAAACCATGTAAAGGACACACCAACAAGGTTAGCTGAATTTATGATTAATGCATGCCTCTACATGGGTCGTAAATATAGAGCAATATTAAAAGCTATGAGCTGTAAATAATTAAAGATATCCCATACGGGTGCGATTTGTGTGCGACTCAAATGCTGAAGCTGTGATCATGAGAGAGGTAATGCGTTGATTGGTGCTCGGGAAATACTAAATACCTTTAACATATGCAAAGAATTTGATATGGATGGATGGGCAATGTGAAAAAACTACATTTTGCATTAATTGAAAATTAGTATATCGCAACCAACAAATGAACGGACTTAAAATCCTATCCGAGCAGCTGAGTGGTCTCAGACGGCTCCTAACACCCGGTGACTTGAAATACCACACACTGACCAAATGATTGATTTCATAAAGGCATGCATGCGAAGCGAATTATTTCCGTCACTTCATTCTTACCTTTTCTGATAAACCGAGACGCGTCCCAATGGTGCAATCCTGAGGAATGTGCTCTCCTCAGTGCAGGTGCTCCCCAAAGCTCCCACAGGGTGCAGACACGGAGAAACAGGGGTGAAACCGCACTTTGCAGAGCAGACCAGACCGGGTGAGTGTGAGCACCAGCGCTCCACGACTTGGACTTTTCACTCCTTCTCCAACGTTATCCTCGCCTCGCTGAGCTGCAGCCTATGCGCCGTTCATTCCTCTCACACACACACACCGATATCTGCCAGATCGGAATATATGCACACACACACATACACACACAGCAAGGTGCTGCCTCCGACCCCCTCCTCGCCAGCAGCAACGCTGAGGGAGAGAAGCAAGATCAGTTTGAACAAAGAGGCAAGCGGTGACAGGCAGACGGCTCCAGCGCCCCCATTCAAAGAGGGGGAGACACAGGGAGGGAGGGGGTGTAGGAGAGAGAGAGGGGGTGTACTTTTATGACCATAATCCGATTCCTACATAAACCTCAAAGGTTGATCCCGTGCCTGTAAATTAAATTCAAATTTACCCATGAGCTTACCATGACAGTCTGGCCATCAGCTAAACCCCCTGATATCCTCATGTCACTTCCTCTGTTATACACTGCTCCTGAGAATCAACTGAACTTGTGTAATCACATATAACCCTCAGGCCTTCTGCTCTAATGAGATAAAAAAAAATAAAGAGCATACTGTATCTACCCAATTAAAGTGTGCAGGAATAACATTTTGACTGATGCTGAGCAGGATTCAATGTGAAAACACAGCTGCCTCAGACGCAGCCAACATCTCTACACTGCAGCCGGGTCAATACACACCCAACAGTCTTCTTCATTAGCACATCATGAAGAAGAGCTTGTTTGTTGCTGGTGGCAGCTCTGGCCGTCTGACTGCTGCAGGTCCAGACACCGATTTCTCTCAATGATAACTAAAGAGTGCAGAAGAGCAGCACACTCATCAAACTGTAGTTCTGCAGTCTGGCGCTCGAGATGGTTTTGGATTATGCATCTTTTCCCTTGTGTGATAGAGGCAGGAGTTATCGGACGAATCCTAGAGCCACTAATCATGGTAATCACATTCATTCAAAACTGAAATATTTGATGAAAATAGCACTTTTGTCTGGTTATTTGAGGCCTTGTAGAGAGTTGGTTTAAAAGAATAAAGGTAACATGTTTATAATTGTAAATGTATCAGTGTTGACGCTTTAAATGATACAAATCAAAGCCAGGCAACTGAAAAAGCTTTTGGTTTTGACTTGCAACATTAATTTAACCCCAAATGTTGTTCAACTTTATTTCAATTTGTAGTGTATCCAGTTTCCAAAGGTACTTATCAGGCTGAATTATGAAAAAGATATATACAAAAAGACATTAGGAATACTTCCATGTGATAGTGCACACAGGGGTGTGTTGTGCAGGTAGAGCTCCCTGGAGCAGTTTTCTGAGGCCTTTGCAGTAAAGCGTTCAGAGTTTAGATCGTGTTCATCTCGTTCTGGCCCTCCTCCTGTTCAGAGACGCAGTAAGAGTTGGATAAATCCCCCACTGCCTGGTTCGTCCTTCACAGCGCCAAGGAGGGCCCACGTCAACAAACATGTCTGTAAAAAAAAATAATGTTTTTATTGTAAATGGGTTTTCTTGTGAAGCAAATACCAAAGCATCAAGTGTTAAACCTTATTAGCTGCTATTCTCTCTGATCCCAAGTTCCTGTGAATGCAGTGTTTTGTCCAACTGTCTCATAAAACACGTCATTGTTTTTTAAAGCCCTCTCTGTCAAAGCGTCTTTGAGTTCCTAGAAAAGCGCTATATAAGTGTTATGTATTATTATTATTATTAATGCCAACCAAATCCTAAACCAAGAACAAACGGTTATTAGGCAAACCCAATTTCAACTTTGATAACACACTATGATTAAATATCACTAAAATATGTTCACTGAGACATCAAACAGCCTTTTTTTAAATATGAATTTCTGCATCAGAAAAGGAGATTATTGGAAGGTTTTTTTTTATGTATTCTGTGTTGCAAAGAAAAGAATGAAACGCCAAGAGATTACGATGATGTATTTAGATGGTTGAATGAACAAACATTTGCCTAGAAGATATTTTGCAGGCTCCTGCTTTGTTATCACAAAGAGAGTGTCTCGTGTATTCACTCAGCACGGCACATCCATCCTGCAGATTTATGTGCTGACAGAAAGAAAAGCTTTGGTGTTAACTGGAGGTGCACTTATTCATATTTGTATTTCATTGTCAGTTCTGCGGCAAGAACAGAGAAGGAGACAACTTCCATCAATCTTAGTAATATTTGTCATAAGACCACAAACTGTAAGGTTACACCGTTCAATAACAGTAATGGACTGGATCAATACTTGTTATTGGAAACTCCCATACCTCTGTGGACTGGAAACAGATCAGTGCCACAGTGGAAAGACAATCTACCCTCAGCTTCAATTCTAGGGAATCAATTTCCGGCTGAATTATAACAAGTCTTTCCCTGTACAGTCGACCTTGTTTATCCGCCCCCTCCCCAGTCAGCTCTGAATTCCCTCAGTGTTCGAAGTAAGAGTTCCCAGAAAAATGTCTCATTTCATATTTATGCATGTGTCTCCACTTTCTGAGTTTAGAAATACTGCTGCATTTTTTTATATGTTTATGGTGATTGTTTTGTGTACATTTCGGGAGGTTTTAGGAATATATATAATGTTGTCAACCTTACTACTTTGCAATGTAATTAGGTGTCAGTGTTAACAGATTCTCACTTCTCCCATGTAGCCACAAAACAATTACTGCAGCTTTAAAGCGAGGGTAGACAACATCTTTTTGGCAAACTCCATAATAACCTCTCACCATATTGTTATTCAAGTGGTACTCATCATGGCTCTGCTTTCAAGATTCACAAACGCTCCCGTGTGATGGGAGATCTGGCCAATCACGGGTCAATTCAGAGCGAGAGCAAAGCACATAGAGAGAAGAGCTGCAAAAAGGGGTTATCATTCATTATATACTGTTTTCTGCCTACAATACAATATGCTTAAAGGTTATTATAGATGTGTTTCCCATAATGCCCAAAGTAAACGTCCTCAGACAATGATCTTATTTCACAGCAGTGTATCGTGTTGTTTCATGTGTGTTTGTAGCTGTATGATTTGAGATAATAATGCAAAGCTACGGCTGAACAGAAATATTCTGACTTCTAAATATAATATATTTCACAGCAGGAAGTACAAGTTTATACCAGGGTTTATGTTCAACATTTATGAGATTAAACTTCAAATTACAGTTGTACAGCATGTATTGCCCATCCACTGCTCATATAGTCACTAATTTATGCAGACCAACACACATTCACTCACATGCAAGCAGGCTTGGCTCAGGCTTAATGCGAGCTGTGACTTTTAGAAATGTCAGGCGCCTCGCCAAAGAGACAAACAATGTCAATCACTCTCCAGCAAGGGAGCAGCCATCCGCACACAATGAAGAACACACAATACACAAGGGAGGCAGGATGAAGATGGTGACACAGAAATGACTTCTGGAACGCTATTATAGCATCTTAACGGGAGCAAAACAAGACAGCCAAGCAACACCGGCTGCCCTCTGTAGAGAACAGAGAGCGTAATGAGGCTTCCAGTAGCGTCGTGATTTCCTCACCCTGATAGATGTGTGTGGTGTGTTTGGGTTCCTGTGTTTGCTTATAATTTGCAGGGCAGGCTCCTTCTTCATGGGTTTGTTTTTATGGGGTTGCTGTTAATGTGAAGAGATCAAACAGGCCAGTAACCAAGCCACATAAAAAGAGAGGAAACAGGATATCTCGCAGTAGAGAGAAGTTTAAACTGGATTTTATAAACTCAGCAGTTGTCCCGACTTGGTTTAGCCACCATGCTGCGTGTAAGTGTTTGCGAGCCAAGAGGCCCCATCTGGGCGGCAGCAGAGCAGTCATGGAGGAAGTCGGGGAGACGGGGCGGGCGACGATGATAACCACATGGGATACCTCCACTCTGCCTTACCACAGGAACACTTTGAAAGGAGCAGTGTGTAGGATTTAGGGGGATGTACTTGCAGAAATGTGATGTAATATTTATTTGTTAGTTTTCATAGAATAGAATATAGAATATAACTTTATTTGTTATCATACAAAGTACAACGAAATGTCCTCGGCAACTCTCACTGCAGTAGAGAGCCAATGAGTTCATGAGTTTGTTATCACCTGAAACTAAGAATGGTTGCTTTTCTTTGCTTTAGAATGAGCACTTCAGGAGCCCTTCATCGTCACTAAAACAGGGAGTAATTTAAAAAATGGCAATACCATCTCCAAATGGAGGATACAAAAAAAAGAAAAAGAAAATGCCATCATTAAATCTAATCAACTTTTTTTAATCTAATCTGGGAGGATAGTCATTACTGATTTTGGTAATCAATTTACATAATCTGTTACTACCCAACTTGATGCCCTCATTTTATAAGATCCATGGGGATGACATAGATTTATATTACAGGTATGATTAAAGGCTTCGTGTGTGGTGGATGCCAAGTCGAAATAGTTTACTTACAAGGTGTAAAGCCCACTCTGTGTTACTGGAAAGTAACAGTAGAATAGAATCTACACAGATGCAAGCAGACGTCTTGCTTGTTTAAGGTGTAGCGCTGTCCATGGTGCTGATAATGCAGTCAGTAAGTCACTGATTTAGTGCCTCATACTGTTTGTGTTTGAATTAAAATATGTTATAATGACCAAACCATACATTAAGGAGCTCAATAACAATATGACTTTGATCCAGAGTAAATATCTCAACTGTTGGATGGACTCTGATAAAAAATGTTGTACAGAAATGTTTGTTGCAGAGAGGATGAATTGGAATGACTTTAGTGATCACTTGACTTGTCCTCTTTGCCACCATAAGGAACAGTTCAATGTTTTTGTGAAATATCATAACCTCTACCACATTGCCTAGCAAAACATTTTGCGCAGACATTAATGTTACTGGAGGATGAATGCTACTTGCCTTGTTAATCAGAGAAGTCTCTTTGGCTCCAACATGATCTTCACTCCCGTGGTCCTGGGTGAAATGAGTCAACATTACGGAGGCCAGAGAAATGCACAACAACATTTTGTTGATACAAGTTAGAATATTAGGTTATTTGATTTAGTTGCAATGAAATAACCTAATATTAGGGTTACATATACCCTATACCAGATACTATCATTAAACAAGATCAAATCTGTTAAAAATTAAGTAATTCAAAATGATGTGTTCACACAGTCAATTAAATTCATTTGGCTGTTTTATAGTTAAACATTGTTTCCCGAACCTCAAGTTACCTGTTACCTCACCATTTTAGACGTTTTGGAG